AGGTCCACGCGCTCCTCTTTGGTCTCGACCTCTACTGCTGAGGCTTAGATCTACGCTGGTGCCATGGCGGCACAGGAGCTGCGTTGGTTGACCTTCTTGCTCGCCGACCTTGGTGAGCGGCCGAGCTCTGCACCGACCTTGTTCACTGACAATAAGGCGTCGATTCTCCTCTGTCGAGAGCCGCGACTGGAGAGCAGAGTGAAGCACATTAACGTCAGGTACCTTCTTCTGCGTGAGTTGCAGAAACGTGGACAGGCTCGCTTCGAGTTTGTGGAGTCCGAGGCCAACACTGCAGACATCTTCACCAAGGCGCTTCCGCCTTGTGACCACCAGATGTGTTGTGTGCAGTTAGGTCTTGTTGACACATGTTCTAGTCGTGTGTAGGCTTGAGTTTACCGTTTGTTTTGTTTGTACACTTGCCATACACCTTTGTGAACTCTTGATCTGGCCTTGTGTGTCAGAACATTATAGCTTACTTATTTGTGTAGGCTATAGTGGGGTATCCCATAGGGGGTACAACCCAATTAGGGTTTCATATTTGTACTCACTTCATTCATAGTTCATTCATTCTCGTTCTTTATTTTCACATGGAATCAGAGCAGGTTCCCTCCTAGGGACTGCTTCTAGGGCCCACCGAAGCGCGCCCCGAGGCGCGTTTTCCTTTTTTTTTCGCGACCCGTTGTGTCGCCCCTAGCGGCCCGTCGCGCCGCCCTTCCCTTAGCGGCCCCGCCGCCCTTCGATCGCGGCTTCGCCGCGCTTCCTTAGCGGCCCCGCCGCCCTTCAATCGCGGCCTTGCCGCCCTTCGATAGCGGCTCCGCCGCCCTTCCTTAGCGGCCAGGCCGCCCTCTGCTAAGCGGCCCCGCCGCCCTTTGATCGCGGCCCCGCCGCCCTCTGCTAAGCGGCCCCGCCGCCCTCTGCTAAGCGGCCCCGCCGCCTTGCTCACGCGGCCCCGCCGCCCTCTGCTACGCGGCCTCGCCGCCGCGTCGCCCGTGCACCCGCCCGTGCACCTACCCGTGCGGCCGCCAGTGCAGCCGCCCGTGCGCAGCCTACGAGCCGCCCCAGCCGCCCGTGCAGCCGCCCGTGCATCGCCCGTGCGCCGCCCCAACCGCCCGTGCAGCCGCCCGCGAGCCGTCCCAGCCGCCCGTGCGGCCGCCCGCGAGACGCCCGCGCCGCCCGAGCCGCCCGAGCCGCCCGCGAGACGCCCGTGCCGCCCGAGCCGCCCGAGCCGCCCGCGAGACGCCCGCGCCGCCCGAGCCGCCCGAGCCGCCCAAGCCGCCCGAGCCGCCCGTGCCGCCCGAGCCGCCCGAGGAGCCGATCTTCTGCTCCTGTGAGGCTCCTACTGCTCCTGGGCCGGCGCAGCTACTGTGCTGTCGTGTTGCTGTGTCGCTGTGCTACCCGACTCTTCCTGCCCGGTGAGACTGTCAGCTGCTACAATGGCCACCCCCAGTGTCCTGACTTTTGACGCTGAGGGTCGCGCCATTGACTTTGCAGTCTGGATTGAGGACCTGCAGCTGTACTTACTGTGCGATGCAATCGATGAGGTTTCTCTCTTTGACTTTGTCTCTGGCGTTGTCCCTGCCCCTCCTGTTGATGCTGACCCCACTGTTCGCTCCAAGTGGGCCACACGTGATGCTGCTGCACGTCTTGCTGTGCGTCGCCACCTCCCTTCCTCCGAGCGTGCACACTTTAGTCAGTGCAAGACCGCTCAGGCCTTGTACGACGCTGTAGTTGCGCGCTACTCCTCCCCTTCCACTGCTACACTGAGCCGCCTCATGCTACCGTACCTCTTCCCTGACCTTGCTGCCTTTCCCACAGTCACTGACCTCTTTACCCACCTTCGCGCTAGTGACACTCGCTACCGAGCTGCGCTTCCTGCTGCCTTCCTCGCCGAAAACCCCCCTCCCATGTACATCGCCCTCTACTTTCTAGTCACCCGTCTCCCTGAGTCCCTTCGTGCTGTTAGGGACCAGTTTCTCTCTGTCTGTCCCACCACCCTCACTGTCGACTTCCTTGAGAAGTCCCTGCTAGCGGCCGAGAAGAGCATAGTCGCTGTAGGGGCCTCTCGTGGTGACCCGCGCACCCCCATCTTTGAGGGGTGTTCTCCTTCCCCCCTGCTACCCTCTGTCGCCTCTGCTGCTGGGGCCGACCTCGTTGGTTTAGAGTCGGTCGGTGCGGCGTCTGCCCCCAGCGGTAGGCGCCGCTCTGGCAGGAGCAAGGGGGGCAAGGGAGCGGGTGGAGCTAGCGGGGGCGGTGGCGGAGGAGGTGGGGGCGGCGGGGGGGAGTGGGGGTGGCGGTGGGGGTGGAGGCGGGAGTGGCGGTACTGGTGGCGGCGGTGGAGGCGGAGGTGGCGGCGGAGGTGGTGGCGGAGGAGGCAGTGGGAGCGGCGGAGGCGAGGGTGGCGGTGGCGGCGGTGGCGGCGGAGGCGGGGGTGGCGGTGGTGGAGGTGGTCGGAGTGGCTCGTCCCAGAGGAGCGGCACTGGGGGTGGTCAGCGCCAGCAGCAGCACTCTCGCGACGTCCCCGCCCCTCAGCAGCTCCGTGAGTGGTACTCGCAGCGTCAGCGTGGTGGGGCGTTCGGTCCCTGCACCCACGTCCTTCGCACCGGCGACCGCGCGGGTGAGCAGTGTGGGGGCACCCACACCGCTCGCCGCTGCTTTGCCCGCCTGACCGACGCTTGGCGCCAGCAGTTTCCGGAGGCCTCTGAGATCCCCCGCTGGGGAGAGCTGTCTAGGGCTGGTGTAGCTGTGTTTGATCTTGACTTTGATGCTATCCTTGCTGCCATGTATGCTGTGACTATTAGTGATGATGGTGACTGTTACCGGTGCTTTCCGCCCGACCCGGGCATTGGTACTGCTGTGTCAGGTGCCAGTGAGGCTGCTGCTCTAGGTGCCAGTGCGTCTGTGCTCTCAGGTGCTAGTGAGTCTGCCCTCTCAGGTACTGTGTCGGCTTCTGCCTCCCACACCTTCACCCTTGACTCTGGGGCGTCTCGTGGTGACCCGCGCACCCCCATCTTTGAGGGGTGTTCTCCTTCCCCCCTGCTACCCTCTGTCGCCTCTGCTGCTGCGGCCGACCTCGTTGGTTTAGAGTCGGTCGGTGCGGCGTCTGCCCCCAGCGGTAGGCGCCGCTCTGGCAGGAGCAAGGGGGGCAAGGGAGCGGGTGGAGCTAGCGGGAGCGGTGGCGGAGGAGGTGGGGGCGGCGGGGGGAGTGGGGGTGGCGGTGGGGGTGGAGGCGGGAGTGGCGGTACTGGTGGCGGCGGTGGAGGCGGAGGTGGCGGCGGAGGTGGTGGCGGAGGAGGCAGTGGGAGCGGCGGAGGCGAGGGTGGCGGTGGCGGCGGTGGCGGCGGAGGCCAACACTGCTGATGTCTTCACCAAGGCACTTGCGACTTGTGATCATCAGCGTTGCTGCACGCAGCTGGGTCTTGTGCCTGTCTTGCCTCACTTGCTCACTTCTTGACCTTGCTTGTACCTTGACCTATATATACTCTTGCTCTTGTTTGCTTGACTCTTGTATATCTCTATATATGATCTTGCATGTGAACTGGCCTTGTGGCCCTTGAACTTGTGCTCGGAATGTGTGGTGACTTTGTGATCCACCCTGAGCTTTGCTTTGCTTTGCTTGACTGGTCTTGTGACTCCTTGTTCTCCCCCACTTTGCCTATGGGGGTGTGTCAGAACATTATAGCTTACTTATTCGTGTAGGCTATAGTGGGGTATCCCATAGGGGGTACAACCCAATTAGGGTTTCATATTTGTACTCACTTCATTCATAGTTCATTCATTCTCGTTCTTTATTTTCACATTGTGGCCCCTGTTGCTTGTGCTCAGATTGTGTGGTGACGTTGTGATCCACCCTGAGCTTTGTTTCTTTGTGACTGGTCTTGTGACCGTACACTTTTGGTTTTGCTTGACACCCCTCACTTAGGCTATGGGGGTGGGTCAAATGTTGTAGCCTGTAATGAGGTTTGTCTTAGGGGGTACAAATGTTAGGGTTTGCTGTATATACCCTCAATCCTCATCAATAACACAACACTTTCATTCTTAAAGCCCGGAGTCAGCATGGTAATTTATCAAGTTATGTGGGTTTGAAATAGTGTTGGCGAAACCTTGAAAACAAGAATTTCGGCAAAGTCAGTGTAGCGAGAAAAATATCGATTGACGAGGGGGAAAGGAGTCTCGCCAAACGTGAAGCGATGGTGAACGACACTGTGCAGCTTTGACGGATTTGCAAGCACTGTGGAGCGACTGGAAGGAGTGTCGCAAGGATTGTTCTTCAGCCAATCAGGTTCAAGTAGTGGAGAAGGTCCACGCACAATGCGACTACTAGCAAAAACGAAAACGGGAAGCACCAACACGAGTGAGGAGAAAGAACACCACGATCAATCAAGCTAACTACTTCGTGTGAAATAACCGCAGGAGCTAACAACAAGGAAACGTGCAAACGAAGGTGACATGCCAGAAAACGTACATGCTGAGTCGCAGGAAGGAGCGTTGAGAAGAGCGCGACACAGCGCGATATGGCCTCTGGCACATCGATTGCCTCTGGCACATCGATTGCCTCTGGCAGCACGTAGGTCGACGGTTTCGGGGCATTGCGAACGTATATTGGGCTCGAAAGTGCCTATTACTTAGGGCAATGCCACGCTGGGGGCGTCCACAATACGCATACCCTTAGGGTTACGCAATTCTACTCTGTCAGCCACCGGGCGCCCACGGGCGAGTAGCAGCGCGCGAAATACAGAGACGACCATCCACCTCACCGGTTTACGCGCAGCTCGCGCCACTGGTCGTCTAGCAGCGCGTCAACTCACAAACGTCCAGCGCGCGCACTATTCTATTCGAATAGCAGCGTGGAGAGGGCGCTAGAACGAGGCACCACCACGCCAGGACAGGTACACGTGCTCCGCGCCCCTGCACTCTGCGCTCTGCCCCCTCCGCCCCCTGCGTTCTGCCCCCTGCGCTCTGCTCTATGAGCCCTGCGCTCTGCGCCCTATTCTCTGCGCCCTATGCACTGCGCCCTATGCTCGGCGCCCTATGCACTGCGCCCCATGCTCTGCGCCCTATGCTCTGCGCCCAATGCTCTGCGCCCTTTGCTCTTCGCCCCATGCTCTGCGCCCTATGCTCTGCGACCCATGCTCTGCGCCCTATGCTCTGCGCCCCATGCTCTGCGCCCTATGCTCTGCGCCCCATGCTCTGCGCCCTATGCTCTGTTCCCCATGCTCTACGCCCTATGCTCTACGCCCCATGCTCTGCGCCCTATGCTCTACGCCCATGGCCCACCCTTTCTCCCCCTCATCCCTGCTTCACCGCATTTCCCTCCCTGCTTCACCTCATTTCCCTCACTGCTTCACCTCATTTCCCTCCCTGCTTCACCTCATTTCCCTCACTGCTTCACCTCATTTCCCTCCCTGCTTCACCTCATTTCCCTCACTGCTTCACCTCACCTCCCTCACTGCTTCACATCATTTCCCTCACTGATTCACCTCATTTCCCTCACTGCTTCACCTCATTTCCCTCCCTGCTTCACCTCATTTCCCTCCCTGCTTCACCTCATTTCCCTCGCTGCTTCACCTCATTTCCCTCCCTGCTTCACCTCATTTCCCTCACTGCTTCACCTCACCTCCCTCACTGCTTCACATCGTTTCCCTCACTGATTCACCTCATTTCCCTCACTGCTTCACCTCATTTCCCTCCCTGCTTCACCTCATTTCCCTCACTGCTTCACCTCATTTCCCTCCCTGCTTCACCTCATTTCCCTCCCTGCTATCTCTGTTTGTACCCTCCTGCTTCCCTTATTTTCCCCCCAGCTTCCCCTCATTTCCCTCCCCCCACCCCCCCCGCTTCCCCTCATTTTCCCCACTGCTGGCCCCTCATTTCCCTCCCTTGCTTTCCCTGGTTTCCCCCCCTGCTTCCCCTCGTTTCCCCCCTTGCTTTCCCTTGTTTCCCCCCCTGCTTCCCCTCGTTTCCCCCCTTGCTGTCCCTCGTTTCCCCCCCTGCTTCCCCTCGTTTCCCCCTCTTATTCACCTCGTTTCATCTTCCTATCTCACACTTTCCCTCTCCCCCTCTTCCTATCTCCCCTCTTCCCTATCCTCCCTTTTTTTACGGTACTTATGTCTTTCCCTCAGCCCTGCTTTCCTCTCCCCCCTCTTCCCTATCTCCCCTGTTTGACTTTAGTCTTGTCCCCCCTCCCCATCCCTCGTATTCCCTCCCTCTCCCTGGGTAGTGAAGTGACACCAATGAAGATTTTCTGGCACTGCAACTCGCCGAAGCCCATCATCCCATCCCTCATGTTTTTTTCAAGTCCTTGAGAAGGGTACAATCAAAAGTAGAATCATGCCTCTATCTACCCTTCTGACACTCTTGCCCATGCATCTTGGAAGAATATATTGCACTGCAGAAACATATTGCGCTTTTGAAATGGATATCTCCAACAGTAATACAGTATCATGCTTGCATACAACACACAAGAAACAGGTGGTGGTATGGCGTAAAGCATGGACTAGCTCTAGCTGCGCCTCAGCTTGCTCCTCTGCTTCACCACTGAAAATTTGGAGAGTGGAGTAAGCAGAAAGAATTGTGTGAGGTGGTGTGAGGTGCCAAGGGAACAACTGCAGGGGAACACAAGCAAGCGCACATGATGAAAGCATGTACCGGTATGGGGAGACAGTGATGGGTGCACATGCATGGTAACTGGAGGGCGGAAGATGAGGGGGAAGGTGAGGGCATGACATGAAAGGGAAGGTTTGAGAAGGGATGGAGAAGGGAAGGGCAGGGCAGGGAGGGAAAGGCAGGGATGGGGAGGGCAGGTGGGAACATGGGTGGGTGTGAGGAGAAGGAGGGCTGAGGGTGGTGGGGAGGAGAGTGTGAGAGGACGGAGAGAGAGAGTGCGAGAGGACTGAGAGGTGTGAGTGCGGGAGGAAGGAGAATGAGAGTGATGGGAGGCAGCAGGGGGGGAAGGAGGGAAGGGGATGGGGGGAAGCAGGGGAGGGGATGGGGGGAAGAAGGGAAGGGGATGGGGGGAAACAGGGAGGGGGATGGGGGGAAGCAGGGGAGGGGATGGGGGGAAGCAGGGGAGGGGATGGGGGGAAGCAGGGAAGGGGATGGGGTGAAGCAGGGAAGGGGATGGGGGGAAGCAGGGAAGGGGATGGGGGGAAGCAGGGAAGGGGATGGGGTTAAGCAGGGAAGGGGATGGGGGGAAGCAGGGAAGGGGATGGGGGGAAGCACGGGACGGGATGGGGGGAAGCAGGGGAGGGGATGGGGTGAAGCAGGGAAAGGGAAGGGAGGAAGCAGGGAAGGGGATGGGGGGAAGCAGGGGAGGGGATGGGGGGAAGCAGGGAAGGGGATGGGGTGAAGCAGGGAAGGGGATGGGGGGAAGCAGGGAAGGGGATGGGGGGAAGCAGGGAAGGGGATGGGGTGAAGCAGGGAAGGGGATGGGGGGAAGCAGGGAAGGGGATGGGGGGAAGCACGGGACGGGATGGGGGGAAGCAGGGGAGGGGATGGGGTGAAGCAGGGAAAGGGAAGGGGGGAAGCAGGGAAGGGGATGGGGGGAAGCAGGGAGGGGGATGGGGGGAAGCAGGGCAGGGGATGGGGGAAAGCAGGGAAGGTGATGGAGGGAAGCAGGGAAGGGGATGGGGGAAAGTAGGGGAGGGGACGAGGGGAAGCAGGGAAGGGGATGAGGGGAAGCAGGGAAGGGGATGGGGGGAAGTAGGGAAGGGGATGGGGGGAAGCAGGGAAGGGGATGGGGGGAAGCAGGGCAGGGAATACGGGGTAAGAGGGGATAGGATGGGGGGAAGCACGGCAGTGGATACGGGGAAAACAGGGAAGAGGATGGGGGGAACGGGGACAGATGCCGGGGAGAGAGCTGGGGGGAGGATAGTGGGGAGCAGAGAGGGAATCAAAACGCTGTTCGATTGTGGTGGCGGAAGCGACCACCTCTGTTTCTCCCCATCTGTTCCTCCCCATCTGTTCCTCCCCATCTGTCCCACCCCTTCGGAAGGAATGAGGGAGGAAGGATGGGCTGGAGATGGTGAGATGGGGAGAGGGGAAGAGCGGATGGAAACGCGGATGACGAGGGGAAGCGCGAGTGACTGGGAGGCAAGCCCGACGACGGGACGCGCGGGCGACGAGGGGAGGCGAGGGCGGCGAGGGTCGGCACGGGTGATGAGGGGAAGCGCGAGCGACGAGAGGGAATGTCGGTGACCAAGGGAGGTGAGGGCGGCGAGGATCGGTGTGGGTCGACGAGGGTGATGAGGGGAGCGCGGGTGACGATCTGAAGCGCGGTATGTTTACTACTAGCAATTGCGACGAGGGGATGTGTGGTTAACGTGGGAGAGCGTGGGCAACTACGGGAACATATGCGACCAGAGGGTCGGGGAGGGTAATTAGGGAAAGCGCGGGCGACGAGGAAAACGGTCTGACGTGGGCAAGAGCGGCCGACGAGGAGGAATGTCAAGAATAATATATATTTCTATATATTGTTTTTGTAACTGCCTGTAGTGTAGACTAGTGTAGTTATATAATGTTCTGTTTTGGTGGTGCACCTTTCATTTTGCCTATATGTACTGCTCGCTCTATAGTGAAAACCCTTCTTCTCTTTTCAACTTTCTCGACTCTAACTTAACTCACTCGAACTCAACTAGCTATGGCTCCTTAGCCTAGCTCAAGTTGTCACAAGGAACATGTGCGACTAACGGCTGAGTGCGTTACGCGAACCAGTACGGCATTCGCGTGAGCGACCCGTACCTAAAACGGTACGATCGTGACACGAGGCTGAATGGCAGCAAGTGTGACAAGATCCTGCGTGTGCGACGCGAGCTTGAAAGCAATACTCGAGTAACGCGAATCTCGTTTACTAACGTAAGTGCCGTGGGTGTACGGGTTGTAACATGAGACCGGTGACGTGAGGGAGAGATTAGAGCGTGCACTGACTAAGATGGTTGAGGTGGACTTATATTTCCTTCCGCACAAAAAAAAACACCTACCCGTAATACCCCGGATAGAAGCACATCTGCGCTTATAATAAAACAGTGTTTTTTAGGGGGGTGCGCTTATAAATGAGTCAAAATTATAAGCGCATGCGCTTATATAATAACAAACACAGAAATATGTTATAAACGCACCAAACTGTGCATTAGAGTCTTGCAATTTCATTCAAATCGAAATGTGTGGAGCGTTCTGAATCAGAATCTCGCGAGGGCGATTCTCTGCTGGCGCACAAGGGCAAGGACACGTCACTTTCGCATAGGAATGTGTCATGCTCGCACCATGAGAGTGTACGAACCAATAGCTTGCAGTCGCTCGTTCGCATCGCACAGGCTTGCCCCAGTGTACGACCAATAGCCTGCAGTCGCTCGCTCGCAGCGCACAGACAACAGGTGTTCCCGAGCCCTCCTGTCAGGTCAACTTCGCGCTGTTGCGCTTTTACTGAGCGAGCCTGCCCTCGAGGGAGTCAAACAGAGTAGAAGTGGATGTGGACTCGCTTTAAAACGGGAAGTCGTTACTGTTTTAATCCGTTTTTTTGAAATATGTTTATACATGCGCTTATAATAAATCAGGGTTTTATAAGGGGTGTGCTTATAATTGAGGATCGGCCATAAGCGCATTGCTCCAGATACAAGCGCATGCGCTTAACATAGGCCTGCGCTTCTATCCGGGGCCATACGGTATCAACGACTCGCTTTTGCCAACTAGCGCTAGTTTTTGCCTTGGAGCCTCCTAGCCTATGAGTACTACTTGGTAAGCAAGGTATGTGAGTGGTGAATAGTACAAATGGTTGGCGATCATCGCGTCAGTTCTGGTTTTGGGCACTCGGGTTCCGTTGTTGCAGGACGATTGCCTGGGGTCGCGAGAATTTTCTCAAAACAAGTAGGGTAACCCTGTTATTGGCGACTTCAAGTTCAAGAATCTTGAACTTGAAAATTACCATGCTGTACTCGGGCCTTAACACTAGAGGGGGGTGTGAGGGCACGAGGGCCGCTAACGAGGTGGTGAGGCGAAATTTAAACCCTATCCAAACTTGAGCCGAAACCATGTTAAGAATTTTCTCACGAGGGCATACATGGAGGTACCATGTATGTTACATCCCATACGCTCTATCATGTAGCCCAGCCTAGCCTACAGTCTACACAGTATACACGAGAAATGTATTCACTAGAAACATGATGGATCAGACTAGCCACTAGCCCGAAAGGCCTGTCTGATAGTTCTTAAGAGTTCAAATCTTGGGAGGATCTTGATCAGCACGGGTTCCTGGCGTAGTCTAGTCCCTCCATTCCTTCCTTTTGATATCAGAAGCAGGCATGTTCAAAATCCCAGGTTGGATTTGGTAAGGAAATTTAAAATATCAAGCATAAATCATGAGAATTATGAACAAGAACTCATGCATTTAGTACCGTACCATCCCAGGTTAGAGTTGAGAACAGGAGTGAACACGGGGAAATAGACTAGGGGAAATTGGAGTGGATAAGGCGAAGACGCTCAACCAGGCCATGATCACAATTGACCACGAAGCCTCTTCTTTCCTCCTCCAATCTCACCCCTCAGCAGCAGAGCCCCACTAAGCAACTAGCCCAACCCAGGTGTCCCGCATCACGGCTTCCGAAGACTTCCCACTCGCAGCCGACGGCAGCCAGCCTCACACTCCCGAAGCCAAGAGACTCGGCGAGCAGCGCACTACAGCCAAAGTTCTGAACGACGGCCGAAATTCAGATCCGCGGTGGCGGTAAACGAACAGAAGAAAATAAACCAGGTCTCAAAACCGCGTCACCTTATCCGCCTTGACGACCGGATTGGCCTGCGCGATAGCCTCGCGGCCAGCCGTCTTGTAATCGAACGTACACGAGTGCCTGTCGGAATAACGGTGCAACGAGCAGAACAGCCCTTCACAGCGGCACTTAAAGCCTGTCAGTCCCACGCGACGACGGCACTCGCCACAGCGATTCACCGTCCGAGCCGGTCCGGCAGTTAATGGTGCCGGCAAAGAAGGAACCGCAGGACTCTCCACATCCTCTTTCTTGCAAGATGCTGCAGCGGCTGCGGCTGATAAATTGGCAGCCAACTTGTCGGCGGAACCCGATGGAACGGCACCAGAAACGGAGAAAGACGAGGAGCCGGTGACGTGCGGTCTGGATGTCGGTTCCTGGATGAAGTCCCGGCTCTCCGGAAGCTGCCGATCTAACGGCTGGGCGAGCGAGGGGGAGACGACACGAGACGACACGCGGAGATCGGAGGGAGCGCAACCCGTGGAGAGAATCTGCGAGATAGGCTGAGCAGTCTGCGATTGGACAGGCGAGGAGGAGGAAGAGAGGGGTGTCGACAAGGATAAAGAAGTGGAAGGCGAAAGCGCACGTGGAGAGGAGGAGCGAGGAGAGGACGAAGATGCTGATGCGGTGGCAGCGGACTGCATGGTTTTCGCGACGTGCTCGGTGTAGCACTTGGAGCACATGTTGAGAGTCGAGGAGCTACCGAAGAACCCGCAGTTGTTCGCGCACATCGTGGTGCGGTCCGACTGCTGGCAGCCCGCCGAGCCTTGGTCCCAACCGTTTTGAGCCATTGTAAAGAGTGTTGTCGAGTGAGAAGCGAGCTTAAAATGCTTCAATAATTGGAGCTTAAAGGTCGAAGCACTGGATAAGCACGGAAATAAGCTACGGAATCGGCGAAATGTCTCAGAAAGCTCAATTACTGGAGGTCGACGGAGAGGTAATTTAGTGGGGCGTTACGACGTGTAAGGCGTCTTGGGAAATCTGTGGGACGGAATAGAAGCTTTTAAGCAAACTTGGGCTGGGGAAAGAGACTAGAAACAAGGTGAGGTAGGGGTGGGTGAGAGAGACACCAAATACAGTACGAATAACACGGAGAAAATCAGACCGGAGGTGGGAAGGGGAATCAGGAGGTTGCTGCAGGTGCTGGTCAGTCACACGGTACAATCACGGGATTGTTGCGCTGTCAGGTTGTCCATGATGCACGCCGTAGATCTTATTATGCACGCACCTGTCATTCTATCCAGCCCCCTAACCAGGCCAGACCAGACCCCCCCCCCCCAACCAAACCCCATCACCCATCCACCTTGCTCCTAGTCCCAGCTCAGTCAAAGTCCTCAGTCCACCAATCTCCCTGTCACCGGGCCACCAACCTCTCCTTCCCCCACTCTCTCCCCCCCAACCACCCCGTCCACCCACCTCCACCACACCTCCCTCGAACGTTTCTACGCCATCGCATCCCATCCTTGTTTGTATCACCCCACCAGGCCTACAGTACAAACCAGTCACCAAATGAACGAGACGACTCGTGTACAGTACCAGAAATGTAGGGAAATCCCATCTTACCCGACTGGTCCGTTCCTTCTTCGGACCATCCGTCCGTCCGTTCTCCGTCCATCTTCCACTGTTCGGGATTTCTCACAACGGCGGAACAGCTGACACGTGAGTCCAGGGCAGGTGAGCTGTCATCCCACCGTCGACCCGCGTAGAGGCTGTTCCCTTGAACCTACGAAGCTCAAACTCAACAGCACGCAATCCAACTTACCAACCTACCACCCTCCCACACTCAGCAAGCCACAGCCATCAATCACCTCACCCACTCTCCATCCCCCCTCCTCCCTCCTCCCCCCTCCCCAATCAACCCCCTTCCCCCCCCCCCCCACACACCAACTCTGCCCTGCATCTCCCACCATTCATGAACTTCCGCCTGCTTCCCCAGCCAGTCACAAGCAATTGCTTGTCCCCGTGTCATGCACAACAGCCCAGTCGTATCGCGGGGAATGGATGGGTGAGATTTGATTGGACCGATACTGCCAGGTTGCGGACCTGGACTCCAGGAATTGACACAATTGATTTGACTGTTGAGCTGATTGCAAACGTGTACGCGCGCCAGCGCAGCACCAGTCACATGAATTCATCCACGGGAGAGTATATCCCAGCTCATTAGTTTCAAAACTCTCTCAAATTTAGTCCCAAGTCTACTCA